GGTAGGGAATGTGTTTGAACTGGTTTGGATGAAAATGCACGAGTGGATTGAGCTATGGGATTCAAACTTCAACTTATGCCCTGTTTTTGCAGTTTTATGGTGTTTCAGTGAATGGGGAGATATTGAAGGTGATAGGCTCGTGTTTCAGCTCAGTTATGTTATTTGGAAGGTGTACAACAACTTTGCTTAAGCTTGTATTGGCTGAAATGAGAGTTGATGTATGTTATGCAAGTTTCTTCACACTTAAGCAAGAAAAATCAACTTGGTCCTCTAGACTTGTACATGCCCCTCTAATGTGCTGCAAACATCCCTCTTGATCAGTGTAATATGCTTCTGAACTTGTGCCCAAAGATATGGCCTTGTACTTCTTGATTTTCAAACTTGACATAAAGTTTCACTTTTCAAAAATGGATATATCACTTTTTCTAATTATAGCTTAATCTTGTATGCAATGCTTAAACACATAATGTAAGGCTTGAACACAAGGGGTTTGTATTAAATTTATGAGTGTGAATGAGATAAAGGACCTGTAATCCATCTTAGAATATGCTGAGTTCAAAATGCAAGGTTATGGACATGTAAATTGGCCATGGACAAAGTGAGTTTTGCCCATATTGCCAAATTCGATTCTCCCTAACCATGAGGTTGTTTGATGAGTTCTTGGACATTTTGGAAAGCTTGGAATGTGTACTACAATCCATCTTTGTAATGAAAATTGAAATTCCAAGTGGAAGCAAGTGAAAAGTGGTCATGAAGTTAGGCAAAAATCCTGCCTAGAATAGGTCAAAATTTCTCTAAGTTAAGAATGTTTTGCACCCTTGTTCCAAAAATCACAACTTGAGCTACAAGCTTCTTTTGAGGAAACTTTGTGAATCAAAGTTGTATATTTTGCAATGTACTACAACTTTCATGTTTTGACTTTTGTTTGAATCCAAATGCATCTTGATGGAAAAATGGGACAAAGTTAGGAAAAAATTAGGGATTTTCATAACTTAGAAAAATTCTAAGTTATGAAAATTCTTCATTTTAAACCCTAATTTGCAATTTTTGATTTCTTGATGAACAAGTTTCATAATTTGGCATGTTTTGATGAAAAATGAATCTTGACACTTGATTTTGACCAAAAAGTTAAAGTTTGACTTTTCAGTATACAGTCAAACATTGATCAATTGACTGGAAAATTCATCTGTCAAGCTTGTGCATTTGGGATCTTTTGAATTTGTTGAACATGTCAAGACAATTCCATGGGGTCCTTGAGTCCATATATGAGCTTGGTTTGCCATTGGCTAGGTCAAACAGTCAAAAATTGCCTTTGTGCAGTCAAAACCCTAAAAATGACCATTTTGCCCTTTTGGTGATCTGATCAAATTTCTTGTGGAATTGTGATCCAAACTTGACCAAATGGTTCCAATGAGTTCATAATGTTGATGTGGGTCAAATTTCATGGGGTTTGGCTGTCAATTGACCACAGTTGACTTTTTCCCAATACAGCTGATTTCTAGGTCAACTGTCCAATTGACTGGGCAAAGTTTGGAATCAAGACTTGAAACTTGGTATGGATAAACTTGGGAGTCCAACATGAAGCATGAAAGTCATCTTAGGCATTTTAGGTCAAAACATCTTTGTGCAAACACAAACCCTAATTTGGGTCAATAGTGCAAGGAGGAGTCTTGTGGTGAGAAAATGTTGAGGAAATGAGAGGGCAAATTTTGGGGTACAACAGGGAGAATATATTTTCATATCCCTAACACATTCAGGAGGAGCATCCCCAATATAATTATTTTGTTGCTTGTCTTATCGCTTCCGTTTATTATCGTTTATTGAGTCTCCCTCATGATTGCACATCTTTGAATCAAGTTTGAATTGATTCGTCTATTCGTTTTTAGCACGCATAAATTAATTGTTATTTTTGAGACTTGATCATGATGATCTAAGTTAATTGTTTGAACTAAGGGAACAAGAACCATATGTGATATAAATTCAAGTCAATGGGAAGTGGAATCTCAAACTATTTTGAAAAACTTGAAAAAAATGAGATTTCTTGTGTGTGATTTGAATCACTCACATATTACATCTGATTCAAAATCGCAGCTATGTGATTCGAATCATAGTCTGTGCATGACTCGAATCATAAATTTCTTGCTAGCCACTGACTTGTCTGGTTCAAACCAGGCTTAACACATGATTCAAATCATGAACCCGCGTGACTCGAATCACAGTCAAATCACATGAAAATGGATCACTTTCTTTATGAGATCTTGTTTCACTATACCCGCTCATTTGAATCGAATCTACTAATTTTTTCCATCCATTTTTGTGCTCAATATCAAACACATATAAATTTATTTTGTTATCATTTTCATGTGTGAATCTCATAATCAACATTGTGTTTTTTTTTGTGAAATCAACACCCTTTCACTTTTGAAAATTAAAAAACTCTTGCAATTAAGTTTCTTTATTCTTTAACCTTTATTTCGATTTTAGATCATGATAATGAGAGACTTGTAATTGGTTGAGGGATACACCGTCTTGAAACTAATTGTTCTTGAAAATTGGGTAAAGATTTTCAGGTTCTTGATTGAGGTTGTTGTCATTAGTGCTGACAAATTCCAGTGAAACGAAAAAGGTTATTCTCTCTATATTACATTGATAGTGATTGTATGGAAGGGGTGATTGCTACACCCGCAGTTCACCGCTCAAGGAATTAGTAGGATCAAAGGGTGATTGCTACACACAAAGACTTGGAGAAAATTGGTGATACTGAAAGATTCAAGAAGCGTGAATCGAGTAAGGATTATGCAGAAGAGTTTGGCATTACGCTGTATACAAGTCAAAATCTGGATAGGAGATTTATATTTCTCAACATTATTGTAGTTAAGTGATTATATGAACTCTTTCAATATTTGTCAAAATAAAAAAGGAATAATGCAGGTTCCAATGGTAAACAATTGAAAAGTGCACATAAGAAAAGCGAGGACGAACGCCGAAGCACTATAAATTAAGGTGTCTTCTCTCTGTGTGTGTGTGTGTTTGTCTATCTCTCTCTCTCTCTCTCTCTCTCTCTCTCTCTCTCTCTCTCTCTCTCTCTCTCTCTCTCTCTCTCTCTCTCTCTCTCTCTCTCTCTCTCTCTCTCTCTCTCTCTCTCTCTTGCATTTAATTTTCGTAGGATATTGCATGCTTAGGTTTTCAATTCTTAGAGTAGTTTATCGTTTGTCAATTGGTAGCGATTTATTACGTAAGGTTAGGTTTTGTTAGAATTGGAACCTAATCGAGCTTTAATGGTGATTAAATTTTGAGAAACTGTTGAGTTTAGAATTCGTTTAAATTGAATCATTGTATAATTACACCTCGTGCAGTATATAATTGATATTAATTAAATACCTTTGTGTACAATCATTAAATCATCTTTGATATTTATGAAGTGATTAAGTGTTAACGTGATCAAATTTCAACACAGGTATAATTCTCACATTTTCTCTCTAAATCTTTCGCGCGTAACTCTGAAAAACCTATGACTATCCATTTTTGAAAAATTGGTTGAATTTTTCTTTTAGTCCATTCACCCTCTTTAGACTGCTTTCTTACCCCATATTCTCATTCAACATGATAAAAATTGGAACTTCAACTTATTATATACTAATATACCCGCGGTTGTTTGTGACCGCCTAAAATCGCTTCTCATTTGTTTAAATTCTCTAGTTTTTGATCAGTTAACCTGGAAAGACAATTTAGGCAAAATCTATAACTGGATCAACAAACTTGAATTTATTCAGAATACAACAGACGATAACTCTCGGAAGTGGATGTGGTATATTCATGCTCTTGAGAAGGTGAAATTCTTCCTTTGGACGGCTTAACATTAGTCCCTTCCTATAAGATCAATGTTATGTCATCGTGATATGCTCTAGACGAATATTTGTCCTAAATGCAATCAGGACGCCGAGACAACTTTACACTGCTCGAGAGACTGTAAATTTGCTACTCACTTTTGAAAATCTATTGGCCTCTTGGACCCACTATTCTTTCAAGGGGATAACTTATATGATTGGATTAGACATGACATCAACAATGGCTCTATCTTTTTTGGCTGCTTACTGGTGGTTGTAACGCGCTAGGAACAAACTGTGTCTTGTGAATAAAATAATATCTTCCTATATTTTGAAATTCACCACAGTGAATTATGCTAATCTTTTAGCTAAATGTTTTCTCAAGCATAATATGTCTCATCCAATGAGAATGATCATGTGGAATGCACACAAAGGTAGTAATATAATTTTGAATATTGATGGTAATAGCCTTGTTAATCTCAACATCCTGGGTTTTGGTGGATCGATTAGAAAGACTAATGATGCTAGGGTTAACGATTTTGCAGGTAATATTGATTATTCCAACATCCTTCATGCTGAGCTAATATTGTTATATCATATTTTATGTATGGCCTGTGAATTTGGCATCAAAGACTTGATGTGTTATTCTGACTCAAACTCTACTATCAAGCTTATTTCAGAATCTGTTAATGCTTGACATCACTATGCCATGAGTCTTCACAACATTAAAGAATTTCTCTATAGAGAATGTCAAATTCAAATATTTTACTCTAGGGAGGAGAATGCTTGTGCTGACTATCTAACAAAATATATAATTGATAATGATGAATCTTATTGTTATTTTGCAGAGTCTCGTGTTAAAATCATCATTCTCTTACTAGTTGATGCTACTTAAATTATATTTTCTAGATAATTTTCTACTTTATTTTTTCACTGTATTAAAAAAATAAAAAAAAATATTCAGAAAAATATAAAATGAAAAACATATTTAAATAAAAATAAATAAAAAAGAAATATCATTTTGGCTTAGTGGGTTATTTGAGCCCAATACATCACTCACCAAAAACTCTTCTCTTCCTCCGGCGTTAGGGTTTTCTCCCCCTGCAAGCTCCTGCACCGTTTTCCTCATCCCTATCGATTCTCACGGTGGTTGCTACGCTTCCGATTCACAATATGGCAACTACAAGTATTCCCACACCAATCTCTATTTTCGTTTTCAATTTTTTCCTATTATTTTTCTTCCTCACATGATTCCGTTGGTGATTCGTTTTCTGCAGCTACTACTAGGTCTTTTCTACAAGCAGTCGCGACGGAAGAGGTTGCGACTCCTCTTAGAGTCGTTCAGATGGAAGGACTGGTATCATTTCTACTCTTTCTATGATTTAATTTATTAATAATCTATAGTGTTGCATAACCCTAGACTACTGTTTTTGAAATTGCTTAAAATGGTGCTTTTGTTTGGGGTTTTTCAAGGGTTTTGTATTTGTAATTATCGGTATCTTTTTATTTTTGCATCCGGGTAATGTACATTGTCCGTTGGGTCCAAAACTGACACCAACACTTGTGATTACATTTAATTTTTTCATTTCTTTAAAATTACTAATGGTGTCGACTTGTCAGGGTCGGTGTCGTTTTTCTAGTGTCCGTGCTTCATAGCTTTTAAGTTCATGGGTTTTTAGACTCTTTATTTTCACAAATGATATAGGATTTTGTGTATTGCAATACTCAAGTAACATTTTGCATCATCGTTGCTGTCAATTGCGGGCTGCCCGAAATAGCTGTTTGTTCAAATTCCGCACTTGCCATTTGACAGTATTTTGTGCTAAGTAAAGTATATAATACAAATTGTTTACATGCTGCTATTGCTACTATTCTACAACTCTGAGTATTGTAGGTGTTTATGTACCTATTTATTGGTAAATAAACTTCCGGAAAGAACATTATGACGAAAGTTGATCCATCTACTAAGTGGGATAAGGCTTGGTTGTTGTTGTTGTTGTTGTTGTCATGTTTGTCTGGAAAGACCTAGAAAAACTATAAGAGAAGTTATTAAGATAGATCTCGAGATTAACTATTTGGATAAATGCATAGTCCTGGATAAAACGTTGTGGCGAAAGTTGATCTATGTAGCCAACCCCATTTAGTGGGATAAGACTTGGCTGTTGTTGCTGACATTTATGTCTGTAAAGTATTTGGAGAATCCCGCTAGTTTTTTTGTGTGGTGAAGATAGTATTCGAACCATTCTGATTGTGCTGCTGTTATATTTTTGGTTTAACAGGTTATCCTGAAGATAATTAAGCATTGTAAGGATCACTCACCTTCTTTAGTCACTGGACAACTTCTTGGGTTGGATGTTGGCAGTGTTCTTGAAGTTACTAACTGCTTCCCTTTTCCGGTATGATATCAATTTTTTTGTTTTTTGCTTTCCTTTGTTTCTCCATTTTCACATTATCTAACTTTGAATAATGTTATCATCATATCTATTTCTGAAATTTGTAGATGAGGGAGGATGATGAGGAAATTGAAGCTGATGGTGCCAATTATCAGCTTGAAATGATGAGGTGCTTGAGGGAGGTTAATGTGGACAATAATACTGTTGGATGGTATGCACGATTGTTTCTAACTTCAGTAGTTTGATAAATACAATTGGATTTGATTTAAACTTCAGTGTGTTATTTGTAATCATTTATCTAATTTATCTAATACGAAAGATAATTCTCTGAATGTAGGTACCAGTCTACATTGCTTGGCTCCTATCAAACTGTGGAGCTGATTGAAACCTTTATGAATTACCAGGTATGGACTAATTTTTTTCATCTTCATATTTTCTCTTAAGCTGGGGTTTTGCGGACTTAGAGTTATGTATGTTATTATGGAAACTAAATGCTCATCTAGTTAACTATTTAATGTGAATGTGCTGAATTTTATTCTTTTTCATGCTCCTCTAAGCTATTCAATGTTTGTCAGATGACCCATTAGTAAGAGCTTATTGCAGTAAGCTACATAATATTGTGTGATATATAATTTTAGAATGCCCAACAGGCCAAAAAAAGATGTGTGATATGCAATGTTTTAAAACTCGGTAGTCTAGGCAAGATCGGGAGAAAGTTGAAAGGTCGTAGGATCTGAGTCTACACAAGATCGAGAGAAAATTGAAAGGTCGTAACTTGAGGATCGTAGCAGGATTGCAATATCCTACTAATAGTGAAAAAAAATTATATAGTGACATGTACATAAAAATTATCATAGACAATTTAACAACAGTAAACTATATATAGACAATAAATAACCTCCTAATCACAACATAGAACACAAAATTGAACTTAGTTCATAACCATAAGCTCATGGGTTAATAAAAGATTTAAGGGTTAAAGGCTAAGTTCATTTATTAGTGTCTTTCTATGTTTTTTCTGTGGTGGGCGCAAAGGCCCAAATGTTTTCAATTATTAATATTATGATTATGATCATCAATTATTATTAACCAATAGTCAAGCTGCTGTACAGCTGATATATTGGGTTTGGTGAGGAGACCTTACCGTGGTTCTTGTGATAACTCTGTTTTCTCATTTATTAATTACATCTTTCTTCCACTGTCTCATCTTCTTTTTGTGCTACAAGTTACGACTATGCCTCTCCAAGTCTCTACCTTCACTGTTGCAGCCATGGTGAATAATCGTACCAGCTATCACCAAAGAGTATTGGGAGCAAAGAGAATTGGAGTAAAAGAGAAAATGATTGATTTCTTTTCATAATCTAGGATAAAATCCTGGCTCGGACCCGATCTTTTTTTTTATAAAGCCCCCCCCCCCCCCCCCCCCCCCCCCGAAAACCTGACCCAACACATCATATTTCACAACGATCCGTAACACCAACTCGAAAGATTCTGACTGTTCTGCTCAATGCGATTCAACTGACATGAAACACGGTGGAAGATGTTTGATACATAGGATTGCACGATCCACTCGTGATTCTGCATACCTTGGTGGTATGCGCCGCAAAAGATTATAACACTTTATTGGGTAATTATCATGATATAAAGGCAGTGTGTCATTTGTATTCAAGACAATCAGATGTTAGCATTGTTCATTGGGTGAAAGTTGCCTCTATTAACTAACTGAGAATATATCTTGTGCTTATTGCATTGGTCTGAGGCGGATGTATATGCTAATGAAAACGTAGGAAGTTGACACTTGTGCATCATAATAACCAAATTATGGAAATTTCATGCTGCTTCCGTTGTCCAAGTTTTCTGTTTCTTAAAAGTTTATCATAAAGTATTGATGATGGTGGTTTTTCATATTGGATGCAGTTACTGTAATAATTTTTCAAGAATTTCATAATCAGGTAAATGACTTTTTTTTTAATTTTTCAGGAGAATATTAGACGCTGTGTTTGCATAATATATGACCCATCAAGGGCTGATCAAGGTGTCCTAGCTTTGAAGGCCTTGAAGCTCTCAGACTCATTCATGGAACTGTATCGCAGCAATAATTTTACTGGGGAAAAGTATGAATTTTCCTCTGGATATAATGTTTTCTGTAAGTAGAACTATTTGCTTTACTAATCTTGTCTTATGAAATAGATTGAGGGAGAAAAACTTATCATGGGTGGATATCTTTGAGGAAATACCCGTAAGCTTTCTTGAACTTTGCTGTTGTAACATTTAAGTATTTGACAACCTTATCTTATTAATGTGACGAAAACATGAAACAATTGAAAACACAATCATCATGGTGGATTGGATTACTAAGAATCTCGGTCACGTTTGTTAATGCATCAATCAAGAATGAACTATACATGCGACTCGCTACAAGATCAACAAGACCATAACATGGCCACTTGCTATTCAACACCAAATTGCTTATCATTTTTCTTGTTTATTCATAAATTAGATCAAAGTTTCAAATTCCGCCCTTATCAGCGCTTTTATGACTGAGCTGGAACCCGATACTCCAGTCACTCAGGTGTGCTATGATATTTATTTGCCAGAGATTCTTTTGGCTATTCTAAATTTAGTTTGTGTTTTTTCATATACTTTTGTGTCATTGTAGTGTGATTATGATCGCCTGCAACTGTCAACCAGTTCACTAATGGAGAGAAATATGGAATTTTTGATTGAATGCATGGATGACTTGTCACTAGAACAGCAAAAGGTTTTTTTTTAGGTTTTCCTTTCGTTGGTGTTTTTTTTTCTTTCTAATTCTCGATTACAATTTAACAAAGTTTCTTCTATTTCAGTTCCAATTCCACTATCGTAGCTTGTCTCGTCAGCAGGCTCAGCAGCAAGCATGGCTTCAGAAGAGAAGGTATGATTTTGTCTTGAATTGAACTACTTTTTGTTCTAGCAAAACGGATGGCACAGGTGCTTATCAAAATAAGCGCTTATGAATAAGCACACATAAGCTATTTTTATATCAAAAGATAAGATAAATTTAAATTGTTTTTATATATGTTAGAAGTTGTTTTCTTGAAGAAAATTTATAAAAATAAGCTCAAAAATTTATGAAAAATGTAAGCTGTTTTGATTATATCTCCGAAACAGTGACACAACTTATGGCAGTACATAAACTCAAATAAGCCCATCTAAACAGGCCCTAATAGTCTTAAGAAAACTTTATTAACTAGGCTATTGAGTAAATAGGGAGTATGCTAGAAATTTGCATTAAACATTTAAATCAATATTTGCATGGAAATTTACATGTATTTGTACCAATAAACAATTAAAATGCATTTTTCTTTGGTGTGGTTTTTTATTAGTGAATGTGAACAGTGACTGTTGCAGTAGTATCTAATCCTTGTCCTCAATTAGTTCAGTCCTTTATGGTTTCGGTTTTGTTATTATAGGGCGGAGAACATGTCACGCAGAGCTGCTGGGGAGGAGCCTTTGCCCGAGGAAGATCCTGCAAACCCCATTTTCAAGCCGCTCCCTGAACCATCACGGCTGGAGAGCTTCCTCATAACAAATCAAATCTCCAACTATTGCAACCAAATCAATGGGTACGTGTTAAGATTCTGATGGTGAACAAGTATTGTTTTAAACACTGAACTGAACATCAAACTGGCACTGTCGTGTTTTGTTGTTATAAATTGCTCTAAAAAAGATGAAACAAGAAGGATTGCACCAACCAAATAACCGAACCGTTGTAAAAGTCGGTTCAAGGTTCAACTGGTTGAACTGTCCGGTTTGGTTTTTGAAACACTAATGAGTAGTTTCTGGACCCTTATTATTGGTATATCTTTTCTCTATTAAAAAGTGCTTAATCGCGGTTACGTTTCTCTCTTGATATTCTGCAGGGTTGCAGGTCAAAGCTTTAACAGACTATATTTGATGAAGGCTTTGCACGAGGAATGAAAATGCACGCTTTGATGGTGCAACTTCTTTGCTATATAGAATGAGAATTTTATGTTGAATTTGGTAGAGTATACCAGAGAATTGTTGTTTTAAGGAGAAGTTATTTTTGTTTTGTTCAATTTATTTTGAAAAACTCTTGAATTGTAAACAGTGTAATCTGTTATATTTAGAGGGAGAAGATACGTGTAGTGCTGCTTTTTACTCGTTAATTGTTTTTTATATTTACCATTTCAACTCTAATATTTGGGTCATTGTGAAATGAAAACCATCCACTCTTTCTATTAATCTCCTACAAGCACTTGTCGAATACCAAAATATTCATTTGTTTTTATTCATTATGTTTATTGTCCTCTATTAGAAAAGAAGAATGAGAAGAAGAGAGTATTCATTCATCTATAACATAATTTTGTTTTTCTGATTTTTTAGTTAGTTACAAAAAAGGCTCCTTGATGTTTTATATACAGCATAAGGGTAACCTGCTATTACAGGTTAGGGCATACTGTTAACTTACAGTTGCTAGTCAAGGGAATAACAATAAAGCTACTTATACAGCTACTTATACATTCAATACCCCCCACAAATTGAGGGGAGCTAGCTACCCTGAGTTTGTGTATAAGCTCCAAGAATCTGGTGGATGCCAAGGGCTTCGTCAATACATCAGCAAGCTGATCAGTGTCAGAAATGTGCAACACTTGAATTTGTTTGGCCAGAACCTTTTCCCTCACAAAGAAAAGATCAATCTCCATATGCTTAGTTCTGGAGTGCAAAACAGGATTATGAGCTAATAAGACAGCTGACTGATTATCACACAGAATAATGGGAGGCTTGGTTTTAATACACAGTTCCTGTAAAAGTGTTTGTATCCAAAGAAGGTCAGCTGTAGCCTGAGCTAAACTTCTGTATTCAGATTCCGTGCTGGATCTAGCAACAACAGGCTGCTTCTTTGACCAGGCAACCAAATTAGTTCCAAAGAAAATAGCAGCACCAGATGTACTGCGCCTGTCATCTGGATCTGAAGCCCAATCAGCATCACGGTAGACATGAAGAGAGGGAACAACCTGAGAGGACAGAGGAGTGAGAGATAAACCATGCTGTAGAGTACCTTTCAAATATATGAGAATCTTTTTGACAGCTTGCCATTGAGAATCAAGAGGGTATGACATAAACTGACATACTTTGTTAACAACATAGGTCAAATCTGGTCTGGTGATGGTGGCATACTGCAATGCCCCAACCACATACCTGTACAGAAAAGGATCAGAAAAGGCTGCAGACCCAGTTTTGGTGAGTTTGCAGGTGGACTGCATGGGAGTGCTGACAGAGCAAGCTTCCAACATGTTGGTTTTCTGCAGCAAATCTCTGAGATACTTAGTTTGGGTGAGGAGCATAGAGCCATTAGCTGACTGCTTAACCTCAATGCTCAGAAAATAGTCAAGATCCCCAAGGTGCTTGAGAGAGAAAACAAAGTTAAGCTTTTGAATGATCTCTTGGAGAAGAGTAGCAGAGCTACCTGTGAGGATAATATCATCCACATAAACCAGTAGATAAAGGGAGTGTCCTTTGGAGAAGTAGGTGAAGAGAGAGGGATCACACTTGCTGGCTTTAAAATTGAGCTTGAGAGAGTTGTTTGCAGTCTCTCAAACCACTGCCTTGGAGCCTGTTTCAGGCCATACAAAGCCTTATTGAGTTTACACACCAGAGAAGAGTCAGGGTGAACAAACCCTGGAGGCTGTTCCATGTAAACTTCTTCAGTAAGGAGACCATTAAGGAAGGCATTATTTACATCCAACTGCTGAATAGACCACCTGTGGGTAATGGCAATGGTGAGAATAACCCTGATAGTAACAGGCTTTACAACAAGGGAAAAGGTTTCAGTAAAGTCCAGCCCATGCCTCTGATGGAAACCTTTGGCTACCAACCTGGCCTTCTATCTGTTGATGGTGCCATCAGGATTTTCTTTGAGCCTGAACACCCACTTGCAGCCAATAACATTCTTATGAGGAGGTAAAGGCACAAGGGACCATGTGACATTTTTCTGTAAGGCATCAAATTCATCTTGCATGGCTCCCTTTCAATGCACATCAGCAATGGCCTGTTTAACAGATTTAGGCTCAGAGTGAGTGAGAAGCACCCTAGGATCCAGTCTAGGCTGAGAAAATCCAGACTTGGTCCTAGTAATCATAGGATGAGAGTTTTGAGGGATAACAGGCACTGGAATAACATTAGGGGGAAGATAAGGTGTAGAAGCAGTGTCTGAAGATGAGCTGAAGGAGGAGTCAACAAGACTAGAGAAATATGAAAGTGGCCCTGGGGAGTTGCTGGCAGTAATTGGTGAAGAAGTTGCAGAACTACCAGCTGAGGATGAATCCTTAGGGCTAGTAGGGACAAAAATGAGAGCAGGAACAAAGGAGGTAGTGGGAGAGCAGGAAGAGGAACAATTGAAGAATTAGGGACAGGAGATTGTAAGGAAGTGACGTGAGGAGTAAGAGCACTCAAAAGAGGACTAGAGTGATGGGGTGCCAAGGATGTACTGGGGCTGGAAGTATCAATGATATCACTGGGTCTGGAAAATAAGTCTAGATAAGGAAACCTAGACTCATTAAAGAGAACATCCTTGGAGATGTATAACCTGCCAGTAGAAGCCAGACACCTATAGCCTTTGTGAGAGGTAGAATATCCAAGAAAGAGGCATTCTTGAGATCTGAAATTAAGTTTCTGAGAAAGATAAGGTCTCAAGAGAGGAAAACAAGCACACCCAAAAACCTTCAGAAACTTGTAATCAGGTTGCTGATGAAAGAGAAGAGTGTAAGGAACTTCGAAGTGAATGGAAGCAGATGACAGCCTGTTAATAAGATATACAACAGTGGAGAAAGCATAGTCCTAATATGTAAGGGGAAGGGAAGCATGACTAAGCAAAGTAAGCCCTAAGTCCACTATGTGCCTGTGTTTTCTTTCAATGACACCATTCTGATGGTGTGTGTGTGGACAAATAAGACGATGATGAATGCCCATATCAGTTAGATATTTAGTAAATGGCCCGAATTCACCCCCCAGTCAGACTGAACAACTTTAATACGTGCCTCAAGTTGCAGTTCAACCAATGCCTTAAACTTTTGAAAAACAGAAACAACTTCAGATTTAGTTTTAAGTAGATAGATCCAAGTAAACTTGGAATAAGCATCCACAAAGGACATGTAATACAAGAAACCAGATGCATAAGCCTTGGGTGAGGGCCCCTATAGGTCAGTATAAACAAGTTCAAGAGGTTTTATGTAAACTCTGTGTGAAGTGGGAGCATGTAACCTGTGAGATTTACCCATACAGCAAGCAGAACATAACATATCACAATTTTTATTACTGAACTGAACATTACAGTTTTGTAAAACAAGTTTGAGAGCATGATTGTTAGGATGTCCTAACCTAAGATGCCACATGTAAGGCAAGCTATTAGAACAATATACAGTATTAGCACTAGGTGCAACATTATTGGAAGAGAAATTAGAAGAATGCAGTAGGGACTTAGCAGGTTGGGACACATCAACAGAAGGAAACTTATAGAGTCCATCAGCTCCTACATGACTGTTGTACCCCAAAATTTGTCCTCCCATTTCCTCAACATTTTCTCATCACAAAACTCTTGAAGATCAAGATCCAGTTAGGGTTTCCTCTGCTCAAGACTTCTCCTTGCACTGTTGGCCCAAATTAGGGTTTGTGGTTGCACAAAGATATTTTGACCTAAAATGCCTAAGATGACTTTCATGCTTCATGTTGGACTCCCAAGTTTATCCATACCAAGTTTCAAGTCCTGATTCCAAATTTTGCCCAGTCAATTGGACAGTTGACCTAAAAATCAGCTGTATTGGGGAAAAAGTCAACTGTGGTCAATTGACAGTCAAATCTCATGAAAATTGACCCACATCAACATTATGAACTCATACGGACCATTTGATCAAGTTTGGATCATAATTCCACAAGAAATTTGATCAGATCATCAAAAGGGCAAAATGGTCATTTTTAGGGTTTTGACTGCACAAGGTTAATTTTTGACTGTTTGACCCAACCAATGGCAAACCAAGCTTACATATGGACTCAAGGACCCCATGGAATTATCTTGACATGCTCAACAAGTTCAAAAGATCCCAAATACACAAGATTGATAATTGAATTTCTCAGTCAATTGATCAATTTTGACTGTATACTGAAAAGTCAAACTTTGACTTTTTGGTCAAAATCAAGAGTCAAGATTCATTTTTCATCAAAACATGCCAAATCATGAAACTTGTTCACCAAGAAACCAAGAAATGCAAATTAGGGTTTGAAATGGGAATTTTTCATAACTTAGAATTTTTCTAAGTTATGGAAAACCTTAATTTTTTCCCAACTTTGCCCCACTTTCTCACTAAGATTCATTTGGATTCAAACAAAAGTCAAAACATGAAAGTTGTAGCTTGTTGCATAATCTACAACTTTGATTCACAAAGTTTTCCCAAATGAAGCTTGTATCTCAAGTTAAAATTTTTTGAATAGGGGTGCCAAACCATTCTTAACTTAGTGAAAATTTGACCTTTTTGACAAGGTTTTCTACCTAACTTCAAGGCCATTTTCCATACACTTTCACTTGGAATTTCAATTTGCATTTCAAAGATGGATTGTAGTACACATTCCAAGCTTTCCAAAATGTCCAAGAACTTCTCAAACAACCTCATAACTTGAGAGAATCGAATTTCACAATATGGCCAAAACTCACTTTTGAATTGATCACGAACATGTTCATAAGACTATGCATTTTCAAAACTCAGCATGCCACTTGATTACAGGTCCTAAAACCCTTTGAAACTTATAAATTTAATGCCAAACCTTTGTGCCAAGACCATGTTTTGTGTATTCAAGCACTGTCTAGAAGATTAATCCATTTATAGATAAATCATTATTTCCATTTTGAAAAAGTAGAACTTTATGTCCATTTTGCAAATCCAAATGGTACAGCCAAAATCTTCTAG